AGGCAGGGGCCCGTTTGTCCCCCACCCCCACACTGTCTCTGGATTTCGATGGGGTGAGCTCACTCCAGCCCAGATGCCTGGAGCCCTGCCCTGGGCAGCTGCAGCCACCCTGGGGACTGCAGTGCTCAGACCTTCTGCCCAGCTGCGGGGGTGGTGGGGTCTCAGCCTCAGGCCTGGGCCGTGGAGGGGAGGGTGGGCTGGCTGCCCAAGGCATGTGAAGAATGTCCCTGGAGAAGCCTGAAGTTGAAGTCCTCAGCCGGTTGTGCCAGAGTCGGCCTCAAAGCAGGCAGACAACTTGAGCCTTGGAACTAAGCCTTGCCGTCACCCTCAGCCAATGCCCTGCCTGTTTGGCCAGCCCAGGGCCTGGGCAGCAGAGCCAGTCCCCTCCCTTCATCCCACACCTGGAGGCTGACCCTAGGCCTGAGCCCACACCCCACACTCCATGCGTCACCTCATCCCCTCTCATCCCCTCACCTCTGCCCTGTACGCCGTACGTGGTACTACTTCTAATGCTTACTGAGCACTTACTATATACAGGTACCATACTGAATGACTCTTTCTGAGCCTCAGTTTCCTCATCTGCAAGATGGGGATAACAGTACAAGCTCATTTGTTTCATTGAAATCCTTGGGGTGAGACATGTTTTGGAATTCAGAAGTTTTCAAACCTGAGAAAGGTGACACAGAGCACGTGCCAGCTGTGATGTGACATCCTCAGTAGAGTCTGGGGCAACACCCCACAATAAAACACATTAATATTGCTGCAGCAAAGTGTATGACTGCTCACCGGAGTGGAGTGAAGTGAATAAGCTATTAATAGCTTCATTCGAGTTCAGGTCAGGACTTGGCACCAGATGAGCGTGTTATAAACTTATTTTTTTTAAAAACACACTCTTGGTTTTCAGAGTGCCTTGGATTTCCCTTATTGCAAATGAGGGATAGTGGCCCTGTAGTGCCAACCCTCCCCGGTTGCTGAGGATTATTAACTGAGGGCCTGGCATGGAGAAAGCCCTCTATGGAGTCTGACCGTTCTTGTCACCTCTTCACTGTGTCGCCGTCTTCCTACCACTCTGATTTTAGCAGCTCCAGAAACTCTTACCTACACATGTAACCTTTGCAGGACCCCCAGTCCTCACTTTTCTAAACAATATGTATTTTATTGATTTCAGAGAGAGGAAAGGAGAGGGAGACAGAGACAGAAACATCAATGATGAGAGAGAGTCATTGATTGGCTGCCTCCTGTACAATTCCAGGGGATTGAGCCCCCAACCCGGGCATGTGCCCTGACCAGGAATTGAATCGGGATCTCAACTCCTGAGCCACACTGGCCAGGCTCCAGTCCTCACTTTTAAACTCCTTTTAAAACCCTATTTCTTATATCTGGGTCTGTACCTCTACCTGCACCCCGAACCTTCTCCAACTTTTGTATCCTCTAATAGCTTGACTTTCACCTCCACGCTCTTCCCAGACATCTTTGCCTCCCTCTGTGTCCTTACCCAGGCCAGCAGAAGAGGGCCCAGCCTCTGTCCCCTGTCCCCAACCGCTTCTGCAGGGCTTGGACCTGGAGCTCTATGGGCACCCTCATCCTCACCAGGAGGGCCTGGACACACCCCAGCCTCAGGGAGCTCTATGGGCACCCTCATCCTCACCAGGAGGGCCTGGACACACCCCAGCCTCCCTGTCTGTCTGGTACAATCCCCCCCAATCCCTCCTATACTCATTAGGGAGCCACCCCGCCCACACCCTCATCCTAAACAATTGTTCCCAGCACACTAGAACAGTCTTCTGACCTTGGCCTGGGTGAGTCAGCTGCCCCCACGACCCCCACAGGAATCTGCAGGGTCTGGAAAATCACCCCCTGCCTGGTTCCTTCCTCTCCGGCCCATCATTCTTCTCCAACGCCTACCTGAAGTACCGGGTTCCTCTGGGAGGAAGGCAGGAAACCTGGGTTCTATTTCTGCCTTTGAGAAAGTCTCTGACGGTGCTCCTTGAGACCTTAGGCACCCGCTGCATGGGCCCAGGCCACTGCCAACTTATGCATCCCGTGATCCACGGGAGCTGGTTAGGTTGGGGTGGGGGGCCAGCCAGTCCTGGGCTCCCGGTCTGGCCTAGCCCTACTTCCTTTCCTGGTGAGCAGGGAGCTTGGGGTCCTTGGTCAGTCCTGGCTCTGCCAGACACTCACCGCTGATCTTGGGCAAGTTTCCTCCATTCACATTTGCTCAGCCACCTCAGGGGGGTCATTGTCAGGGTCAAATGACACAGGCCGAGGAAATGCTTTGTAAACTGGAATGCAGTGTCGTTGAGAGACTGCAGGAGTGACTTAGTGACCTTGGTGAGATTGGCTTTGCACAGCTCTGATTACAGAGGCAGTTTGGTGCAGTGGTGAGAGTTCGGCCATTGGTGCCAGACCAGCAGGGTTCCATTTCCAGCTCTACCACCCAGGTCTTCAAGCAGGTGACCAGAGTCTGCTCCATTTCCCCATCTTTACAGTGGCACTGTTTAACACCTATAACCTGGGTTAACACGTTCAAGTCCTTAAAGGAGTGCCTGTCACTTACTATTAAGTGCCCAATAAATTAGCTCTTTTTATTCCCCAAGGTGACCCTGGACTTTCCAGGTCTGAATCCAAGTTCCCTTCTATGGTCACGTCTCAGGCTTCTTTGGGCGCTTTCCGGAGCCTTTTTCCGGTCTGGCTCCATCCCCCCTCCCAGATGTGAAATACAGCTGCTAGAATCTTTTGATCTTCAGTTTTTCACAAGTGAAGCCTCTGCTCTTGCTGGCTTGGCCCTTGCTCCAGGCCCTGATCTGACCCTGGAGCTGTGGGTCCTGGGGAGGGGGCTGCAAGCAAGGGCAGGTGGGCATGTGGAAGGGCCATTCCCTGGGGTCCCTGGGGTAGGGGGCTTGTGTCCAGGCCCAATAGGCACTGGATTCTCTCCTCTGTCACTGCAGATGTGTGCTCCTGGCACTTTTTCCAAGCTGAATCTCACTTTGCTATTTCCTGTCCAGTCCCAAGCCTCCCCCTGGCTTCTCCCTCCCTGGGAGAAGCTCTGGACCTTGTTCACCAGGGTTTTCCTTTTCCAGACAGCACTGGTGTCTAGGGGGTGCTAGGAATCCCTGTGCCTCATGCAGCCCTCCTCTGGCCTTGGGAAGGAGGGCGTGTCAATGACACATCAGTGACACGCAGAGGGAGAGCCCTCTCCTGGTGGGGAGTTGCCTAGCCTGCCCCTCTAACCTCTGCCCAGTGCCAGTGCCCCTGCACCAGCACTACCCTCACACTCCCCTTAGGTGTGCTTAGGACCCCCACCCTCACCCAGTGGGAGCATTGCCCTCTTAACCAGGGAGTCTCAGAAACCCCTGAGCATATATAACTAACCCTCTGGCCTGAGGTGGAGTGAGCCTGACTCAGTGGCTCTGAGAAGCAGCCCAGGAATCTATGTCTCACCACCTCCTGGAGGTTCTAAAGCTCACTCTTGGATGTGAACTTCATGACCCAGCCTAGAAGTTCACTGGCCACCCTGTCCAGAGGGAGAGGGTGGGGAGAGGAGAAGGAATAGGAGGAGGGTTTTGCCCATGGATTGTAGGGGGAGAGACGGGCCTTAGGCCATAGCACAGGATGAAGTGGGCAGAGCAGGCCTTACGCAAGGCTTGGCGGCACTGGAAACACAAAGATGACCAAATTGCATTCAGCCCCTGCCTCCAGCAGGCTCCCAGCCTAGAACAGGAGATGCATAGAGACTGCATGGGGGTTTGTATACCCTCCAAAGCAGGTCACCTTCAGGCAGCTGCTAGAATTAATAGGTGATAGCATTTTTGTCCATTCATTCAAGTGTATATTGAACACAGGAGCTGAGAAGGTAGAGATGGATTAATCACAGTCCCTGCCTTCAAGGTCCCTCTATTTCAGGAGAGGTACAGGCAATTACAGGGTGAGCCCCAGAGGCCCAGAGCCCAGCCCAGGGACGCAAGTGGCTGGAAAAGGCAAGGAATTAGGACAGTCTCTCATAGATTTTCTTTTTATACCTCATCTTTATTGAGGTATAAAATACACACAGTAAAATGTACCCATCATTTCATGTGTACAGTTCAGTAATGAGAAGGAGATGTATGTACCCAGGGAGATGTATGTACCCTCGTGCCCCGTCCCAGCCAGCCCCACCCCACCCCTGGTCCCAGGCAACTGCTGACCTTTCTGTCACTATAGATTAGACTTTTCCCCGGTAGAGTTTCATAGGGCAGGGAGTCTTTTGTGCCTGGCTTCTTTCATTTAGCACGGTGTGTTAGAGGTTCATTCATGATGCCGAGCATATCTGTAATTCGTTCCTTTTTATTACTGAGCAGTTAAAGGAGATGATGTTTAGCTGAATTTTGGAAGACAATTGAAGTTAGCCAGATACAAATTGAAACTAGCCAGATAAACAAAGGGAGGAAGGGCACTGGCGCAGAGGGACCCGTGTGAGGGAAGGCCAGAGGCTACGGGACATGGACTGTGTGAAGTTGGGGGGTGGGGAAAGAGAGGGACAGGCTGTTTCTTCATTTTTTTTCCCTTCTCCTTGGCATCTCTCCTGCTGCCACCACCTTGTCTAGCCAGTGAGGGCTGGGTTTGGTTTTTACAAGCAAGACCATTTCCTTCTGGCCAGGCTGGGCTCCCCAGATAGGGCCGAGGCCAGGGCAGGGCATGAGACGCTCCTGCTAGGCCATCTGGGCCTGGACGTGCATTATGGGGCCACAGCGAATCCATGCACACTTGTGGGAGGAGGCACTTGGGTTCCCTGGGGCTCCGATGGGTTAGTTTTCCTCTAAGTGATTTGGTAAAACTCCTTTGGAAAAATCTCGATTTTGCCTCAGAGAGAGGCATTCACTGCCCACACCCACAACTGAGAAAGGCAGGAGTGACTGCTGCTGGGACATCTGCCTCGGCCTGTAGGGTGCAGGGTCTCAGCAGCCCGTCATGGAGCTTGTGCTGGGCTCAGCAGCAGCCTGAGGTCACATGGAGTTGACACCATGCCTGTCTGCCCCCATTCAGCCCAGTTGCTGGGCTCCACCCTCACCTCTGCACAGATGAGCCTGTCAGTGCAGCAGAAAGTGCCAGAACTACTCCAACATGGCGGGAATATGGTCCCTGTGGCCTGGAGATTTGGAGGCCAGACTGAGGCAGAAAGAGGTGGCCAAGTTGACCTGGTGGGGAGCTGCTATTGGAGGCAACAGCTTCGATTGACTCACCCTCAGTTTCTGCCTCTGTCCCCCATCCACGCTGACCCTGGCCACTGTTCCACCTGCCTGTGTTCCCACCTTTGCTGGCCCAGTCCACCCGTTACCTGCCTGTGTCCTCCTGTCCACTAACTCATGTCCTGGATAGCTCTTGCCTTATCCAAAAGAAGAGGCGTCACCAAAATGATTTTCATTTTATCGTCCGTTTATTTGAGGATTTGTTCAGACTCGGTGAATCTCAGGGTTGGGCTCTGAGGCCTCAAGGGGCTGCTGGGGTTTGGGGAAGCTAAGTCAAAAATAGTGGTTCAGCCCCAGCCCGACTCTCTCAGCCAAACCACATCTGCGTCAACCACTGGAGGGCTTTAAGGTGGGGCTTTGGGTCCCTCTTGAAGGGAGGGGAGTGGTCCTGGGCTTGGCAGGAGCTGGAGAGTGTGACACAGTCGTCTGTGTGGTCTCCCACAGGTGGCGCATGGGCTGAGAGCATATGATGGCTTGTCTCTACCTGAGGATGCGGAGACGGTCACGGCGGGCCGAGCAGGCTGGACCTATTCAGACCTTTCTGACGATGAGGACTTGCTGGCTGACGAAGCCTCCGGAGGTGGGCAGAAGGTTCTGGTGGCTGGGAGTGGAGGGGTTGAGGGGCCGAGTCGGGGTTGTCCCCACTAGGTCTTAAAGAGGACTCAGGAAGCTTGGCCCAGGTGGCACCTCAAAGATGGACTAAGAGCTGTGTGTTCTGAGCCCTGGTCCCAGTGACCCCCCAGGATTCTCCGCTTACAACCCGTGTGACCCTGGGCCCGTGGCAACTCCTCTGCTGCGGCAGTCCCCTCCTAAGACAGGATGGTCAGGACTGATGGGGAAGGTGGTGGGCAATGCACAGTGGAGGACAATTCCCACCCCTATTCTACCTCCTGTCCTCACTGGAGGCCAGTCTGGCCTGGCCCCTTTCCCCCAGACACCCTGGCCCACACCCTCTCTCCAGGCCAGCTCTCCCTAGGCCTAGGGAGGAGGTAACAGTTGTGTTTTCATGACTTTCTCCACTATGTGCCCAGAACAGTGCCTGACACCCAGTAGGTGCTCACCAAATATTTGTTGTTGCTGAATAAGTCTTTCTTTTGCTTGCAGACGACCTGGGCAGCGGGGATGTGGGCAGCGGGGACTTCCAAATGGGTAAGTTGCTGGAAGCATACTGTAGGCCCATCCTGTTCCTGGGAAAGCCCCACAGTAGGTCTTTCCAGCCACAGAGGGCTCCTTGGGCCTGCTGTGAAGGTGTCCTTGTACCTCCTGAGTAACAGGTGTGTGAACTGGTTGGCACATCCCTCCAAGGTTGGGCATGGCCAGGTTCTGTGCTTGCCTATGCCAGGAAATGCTCAGTTCTGTGAGCAGAGATCGGCGCATTCAGGGTAGTATGACCACATATAAGAATGCCCGGTTTTGATGGGGCTGAAAGCCAGCCGCTCAGCATTCAAAGCAAACTTCTCACTTTCCAGAGCTGCTGAGCTGGGGAGTTCTTCCTCAGTCCTCCTAGGTGCTGCTGCAGAGCTGGGGAGCCCAGGCAGGGGTGGGTGCAGAGGGGCTCTGTGGCATAGGGCACTCAGGCCTCACCCAGAACGTGAAGGGAACCCTGCCTTAGGGTAAGTCGCCTCTGGGATGACAGGGGTTCCTAGGTCAGGGAAAGAGGGCTGGGCTTCATGGAGGGAAAGGAATCAGGAGCTCTGTCAGCTGCCCACTCTGCCAGCACCCTGAGTGCCCGGCCAGAGCAGGGACTGGCCCAGCACTGGGATGGGGACTCAGAGTCCCTGCTTCCTTCCATCCTAGGATTCTGTGTAAAGAAGGAGCTACTTGGTGATGAGTCCCAACAACTCCATATAGTTCCTGCTGATCTCTGGGAGCCAGTGCTGGTCACTCTGTGATCAGGGCCAAGGACAGGGCTCGGCTCAGGCTGACCACTAGGCAGCCCCACAGCACCCAGTGTTGCCCATGCCAGCAGGCCTGGGCAAGTCTGGCCTGGGCCTCTCCAGGGGTGGGGTCGACTCCCTTCTGCTGACATCTCAGGGGCATCCAACTGCCAGAGGGTGGCATCCTACCTAGGCCAGTGCAAACAGGAGGGTTGGCCTGTGGGTGGAGTAGTCCTGACTGTGACCTCCCAGCACCTGGGACTCAGACAGTGCCTGAAGCTTTTCCACGTGTAGGTCTCTGCGGGGCTACAGGATGCCTGGGAGCTGGGTGTGGCCCAGGAGTGAGTGTCAGGTGCGCCCCATGCACACAGCTCACACCCCAGAATGGCCTGTGCTGATGCGTCCCTGGGAGCTGCCTCTTGCCAAGCCAGGCCTGCCTGTGGAGGCCCTGGTCCAGTCCACCCTGTCCATTTGGGATATCTATGGCCCCCCCTTGGGGCTGCCCACTGCAGCAGCTCTGCCCACTCTGAGTTGTTTACCAGCCCATCTCCTGCCGTGAGAAGCAGCTGTGAGGACAGAAGAGTCCAGGGGTTGAGGAAGGATGGGGATGGGGAGTAGCAGCTGGGGAGGGCCCGTGAGGAGGGCCCCTTTCATTGTGGGCAGGGCTGATCCGTGGGACCATGTAGGGCTTTAAACCTTCTAGACCCAAGCCCTGGCACTGGCACTGCCTTTGGGGCGGGTCCATGCAGCTGGGCTGAATCTTAGCCTGGAAGGCAGCAGGTGTGTCTCTGATTCCCAGGCGCTCGGCATGCGTGCTCCAGCCTTGCCCTCCGGGTGCTGCTAAGCAAGGGCCATCCTGACTGTGACGAGGCAGTCCCTGGCTGTGCCCCCTGCCGGGGCCCGGGCCCAACCCCAGACCCTAGAATGTCGCCCCAGAGATGGTGCCTCCCCTCTCCTCTTCCCTCTGGCAGGGCTGTGGCTCCCCGAGGCTCTGCCCAGCCCTGTCCCAACCCCACTCCCCTGTGCCCCTCCTTGAGAGCCCCGGTCCACCTCTCCTCATCCGATTTCTTTCCATCTTCCGACCTGTCCCTTTGCCTTTCCCACTCTTGTCTGTCCCATTCTGACTTCTGTCTCCATATCTCTCCTGCTCCCCGCCTCCCCTGCCGGGCTCTCTTTCCTGCTCTGTTTTCTCTCCTCTGTGCCTCACCCTTCTGTCTCCTTCTGTGTCTTCCTCTCTTCGTCTTCCCACCTCTGCCCCCATTTCTGTCTTTCCCTGGGTTCCTTCTGCCTTTGTCTCACCTCTTTCTCACCCCCCCTTCTCTGTGTCTCTATCTCCATTTCTGTGTCTCTGTCTCCATCTCTGTATCTCTGTCTCCAAATCTCTGATTCTGACTTCAAATCTCTGTCATTTCCCCCCTCTGTTGTCTCTCTTTCTCTCCTCATGTCTCTGCCTCTCCCTTTGGTTCTCTCCACCTCGCTTGCGGTCTCTGCCCCTCCTCGCCTCCCTCTCTGCTGCTCCACTCTGCAGGCCCTGGGCCACCCCTGGGCCACCTTCCCGTGCCTGGCATGATGGTCTCGGAGCCTGGTGAGGCGTCTCCTCTCAGTAAGTGACCTGCCAGCCGGTAGGTGGGCTCATTCCTCTTCCTGCCCACCCCCTCTCCCAGCTCTCCCTTCTCACCCCTTTTCCTTCCTCTTCTCTCCCTCCCAGTTACACTTCATGTCACACCTGAGGCTCAGAGGCACCTCCCTACAGGGCCGGGGGCCAAGCCAACCATGGCCCCACCTCAGCTGGCCCACCTTCCCCCCAGTGCCCAGGACAGTCAGGCCTTGTCTGGGCACTCAGTCTCCCCATGGCGTGCTGGTCCTGCAGGGATGGACATGGCAACCTGGCGGGGGGGAGGGGAGTGCTGGAGTCTGGAGGCAGCTCGTGTCTGAGGACTGGCTGCTCCTGGGCCCACCTGAGGGATCCAGAGGGACCCAGGGCTAGGGTTCAGGGGCCTGGGTGAGTGTGGGAGTTCTGGTGAGCAGAGAGTGAGCATGGGGAGTAGGTGAGGTAGCCTGCATTCCCCACCCCCACCCGGGTGCAAGGCAGCTCTGGGCCTCCTGTCCCCCCAGCCTCTGGCTCCAAGTGAACTCTCCAGATGGGGTCAGAATGAGGGCTAGGAGGGAGAGGGCTGGCCTAGACAGGCACCCAGTGAGCACACCCAGTCCCCTTCCAGCACCCTCCGCTCTGGGGACTGGTTCCTGAAACAGACAGGCCTCACCTGCTCCAGCCCTCAGGCACCAGTTGCAGGGACACATCCCAGGGTGGAAGAAGGAAGGGTTCGCCCTGACCTACCCTGGTTTGCAAGAAAGCCGGGGGTGGGGTCAGGCTAGAGGGTCCGTGCCCTTCCCAGGCCCTAGTAGAAAGGGGCTTTGTGGAACCCAGGCCCCTCCCCAAGGAGTGGGCACATTCCTGGGCAGAGGCCTGGCCTCCTCGCCCTCGCCATGCCGTGGGGCTGAGGCCAGGGGCCAGGGTGGGGGGACTCTCAATGAACCTCTGTGCCCGCTCACAAGGGGCCTCTGTGGCCAAGCTCGTGGCTCCCATACTCTGGCCCCCAGAGCCCCGCCTGCCTGGCACCCAGGAGCGCCGCCCAGCTTGGTCCCTGTGGCTCAGAGCAGGCAGCGCTGCCCTTACAAGCACCCTCTCTTAGTGTAGGGTAGGAGTTTAAGTTTACTCCTGTACCAACCCACCCCTGCCCGGGCTTGCTCAGCCCGAGCCTCAGAGGGAGAGGGCCCTGGTTCTGGGGGCATGCACACCTGTGGGCCTGACAGAGCGAAGAGAGAGGAGGAAGGCCCAGCTGATGCCACCTACATGCTGGTCATCTGTCAGCTCTCTGAGCACACTTCTGCCTCAGGGACTTTGCAGCTGCTGTTCCCTCACCCTGGAATGCTGTTATCCCAGCTGCCTCCCCGCGGCTCATCTCCTTCAAGCGTCCCCTTTGAGGGGAGGCCTTCCCTGGCTACCCCGAGAGAGTAGTACCCTACCTTTCCTTTCTCCTCCCACGAGAAAGGGATCTCTGTGGGGACAGGAACTGTCATTGGTGGAGTTCACTGCTATATACCCTGCCCCTGGAACACCGCCGGGCATACACTAAGCCCTCGATAAAGCAATGAATACTGCTCTCAGATGGAGAGAAATAAAACCAAATCCATTCCTCAGGTTCGTCGTAAAGACCAGAGGGAATAACTAGAGCTAACTCATGCAGCCCCCAGTATGCGCCGGACACTGATAAGCACCGTACATTTGTTAACTTGCTTACTCTGCAACAGCCCTCCGGGGTAGGCACTACTTTATTCCCGTTTTATAGATGAATAAACTGAGGCTCAGTGAAGCTAAGTAACTTGCTCAAGGTCACAGAGCTGTAAGTGGCAGTTTTGCTCTAAAGGCTGAGCCTTTAATCACTAAGCTACTCTGCCTCTCATATAGTAATTGGTCACAATATATTGCACCTACTGTGTGCCAGGCTCTGTGCTAAGCACTCTGTATATATTGAAAACTTATTTGTAACTCATGTCAACTCAGTATTTATCATTTACAGAGTGCTTAATTCATGACATTGAGAATTCATGCATAAAAAAATCTTGTTCATAATAGGTGCTCAAGAAATGATTGGTGTATATATATACACATATGTATATGTATCAGTTGCAACTCATATTAATTCATATTTATAACTCCCATATGAACTCATGAATATTATGAGATTTAACGTGTATAAAATGTATATAGCCCTAGCCAGTTTGGCTCAGTGGTTAGAGTGTCAACCCATGGACTGAAAGGTCCCGGGTTCGATTCTGGCCAAGGGCATGTATCTCGGTTGCAGGTTCAATCCCCGGCCCCAGTCAGAGCACTTGTAGAAGGCAACCAATTGATGTGTCTCTCTTACATCGATGTTTCTCTCTTTCTCTCTCCCTTCCACTCTCTCTGAAAAGCGGAAAAATATCCTCGGATGAGAATTTANTTACATCGATGTTTCTCTCTTTCTCTCTCCCTTCCACTCTCTCTGAAAAGTGGAAAAATATCCTCGGATGAGAATTAAAAAAAAAACAAAAAATAAAATGTGTATAGTAAGTGCTTAAGAAACAATAGTTGTATATGCTCACACCAATCTGATATGAATTGATTCAGCCATCACTTATTAGGCACTTACCATGTGCTAGGTGCTATGAAACACTGGGGGTACAGGAGTAAGATCTGCAGTGTCCCCACCCCCCTCAAGCTCATAGTCTAGAGAGAGAAAGTTGACAGCAGCTTCTGATTTTTCTAGCGTTTGTTTCATGCCAGGTGCAGCATCTGAGCACATAGGGAGATGGTGCATTTAAGCATGATATTACCTATTCCCTACAGCAGCCCAGTGTGTTAATGTAATTAGTGCCCCAAATTGACCAAGGAAGCTCAGAGAGGTGAGGTCGTTGCCTGAGATGTGGCTGACCTCAGAACCCCTGAGTTTTATGAAGATGCTCTACAATCCATGTATATTCAGGCAGGATCTGTGCAACGTGGGCTAGAAGGTGCTCTGATGGAGAAACAGAGGCTGGGAGAGCCCCGAGGAGGGGTCTCTAACCCAGCCAGGGTGGGGGGAGGAGGGCAGTTCAGGCAGTCTTCTTGGAGGAGGTGATGGCTGAGCTGAGCCCTGAGGGGTGAGGGCGAGTTGGCCAGGGAAGAGTGGGAAACATCTTGATCACTTGCAAGGAATTTCGGTACCAGGCCAACCTCCTCTGGAAGCCAGTCTTCTTCGGCCTTCCTCTGAGCTGCCAGGGGTCTCCTCTTCTGGCCTGATTTCTGTATCAGGCCACTTGCCCTGTTAGTTGAAACCCCTCACTCAAGTGTGGGGCCTCGGCTTTGACCCCTGGGCAGACCTGTAGCGTGTGCTAATAGGGGCATTTCTGGGCAGAGCTGTGGCCACACGAGTGTCAGCCTCAGCAAGAGGCCTCTTGGGACCATCCCCCTCTTTCCACCTACTGGCCTAACTACCTGAGGTCACCACATGGTGACACACCTCTCCCCCCCTTTCTGCAGTTTATTTCCGAGCCCTGGTCAATTTCACCCGCTCCATCCACTACAGCCCTCAGCTGGAGGACGCGAGCTCTGAGGCTTTCCGAGAAGTGTCCGAGGCCGTGGTAGACACGGTGAGGTGAAGGGGCTTTGGGCAGCTCCCCAAGCGTCGGTGGGCAGGACTGAGGGTGGGAGTGAAGGTATCCGGAGGCTGATGGTGCTGTGTCCCTCCCCAGCTGGAGTCAGAATACTTGAAGATTCCTGGAGACCAGGTTGTCAGTGTGGTGTTCATCAAGTGAGAAGGGTCCTGTGGGGGCTGGTGAGGGACTGGTGGGTAACCCGGAGGAAGCTGACAAAGATGGGGAGAAGCCTGGGTACTAGGAGGGGAGGCAGAAGAGACCTAATCAGGTGGATCTCTATTGGTGAAAATTCAGGAATTGGTGGGGAGACAGTTTGGACCTTAACTTGCCCTGCTTGGGATACAGGGTGTCCAGGAGCTGGGGAAGAGTCAAGATCAGGTCTGACCATCTGACAGGGCACCAAGGGAGGAGCTGAGACCACAGGCATCTTCTCACCCTGCTCTCGCCCCATGCCCATCCCTAGGGAGCTGGACGGCTGGGTCTTTGTGGAGTTGGATGTGGGCTCCGAAGGGAACGCAGATGGGGCTCAGATTCAGGAGGTGCTGCGATCGGTCATCTCTAGCGGCTCCATTGCCTCTTATATCACCTCTCTCCAGGGATTTCAGTTTCGACACCTAGGCACAGGTGAGCCCATCCTGGAGGCTGGGATCACCTCCTCCAGTTTATCTGACTTGGGTGGATCCCTTTTGAGTGTCCCCACCATGGGCTCTCTTAGCCTGGGTTTGCATACCACTAGGGACAGGGAGCTCACCACCTTATGAGTCTGCCCCATCAACCTTTATGCAGTCTTGGCTTGGGTTGAGCATAAACTGTTTTCTCTACCATGTACCCACTAGACCCAATTTCTGCTCTCTACCTTTATTCATTGACAATAGGTAATAATTCTTTTCTTCATACAGTACTTTCAGATCCAAACACTTTTGTGTTTGATAATAACCAACACTTATTTACTGAGCACTGATTACATGCTAGGCACTCTGTAAGGCCCTTATGCCCAGCCTCCCCTTCGCTCTTCACAATAATTCCTGTGAAGTAGATATTATTCCTCCCGCTTTAGAGATGAGGGTACTGAGGCCCAGAAAGGAAACATGACTTGTCCAGATCCACATACATGGGGAGTGGAAAAGCCAGACTTTAAACCAAACCTTGTGTCTATGCCAGTCTTGCCAGAACCTATGATAAGATGAGATGAGAAACAGATGAGAAACTAAGGCTCTGAGAGAATGGGAAACTGGCCCAAAGTTACCCGGCTGTCAGATGCAGAGCCCTGGCCTTTGTTTTCTCAGTTGGCTCAGGGTTCTTTTTACTGCACCCTGCTTCCTGTTTTGACTCCCTGAGTCTTTTCTTCTCCTGGCAAAACAGTCCCAGTTCATTCCTTATAAGCTACGGTTCTTGGCCGTCTCCATCTCAGTCCCCTCCTGGGAAGGCTCTAACATGTCACCCCTCTGACTCAGTGGAACCCAGCACTGAACAAGCTCCCTCTCTACCACGGTGTAGCCCAATCAGAAGAATATAGTGAAACCATCACCTCCCTCATTCTGCACATAAAACCTTAATTAATGCACCTGAAAGTTAAGTTAGGTCGCAGGGGGTCCTGCCCTTTTGGTTTTTCAATGAATCTTCCTGGCTAGGGATGGTGGGATAGGCCTGGCCCAGCCCTGCAGCTCCCAGGTCCCAGGCCCCAGGTGGAATGGGTGCTGATCACGCCTTCCTTTCCAGCACAGACACCCCCGCCCCCCTTGGCCGCTGTGGCGGCCGCAGTGACACCAGGTGAGAGTGTAAGCCAGATCCAGGCCCAGCTGGGTAACTGAAGTTAATAGATGGAGAGAAAGATCCATGAGGGCAAGATGGCTGGGCATAGCCCATAAGCCACGCCTTCTTCTCTTCCTCTTTGTCCTTGCTGGGCCAGGTTGTGGCCTGCATGTGTGTGATGTGGTGGTTGCATGTGTGTGGCATGTTAATTGTGTGTGAGGACTAGTGAGGCTACTGCCACATATCCTGTGTCTCGTGTGCTGTGGATGTGTCCACCATGTGCTCCTTGCCCTTGCTGAGTCTGCCAAAAACCACATGGCCTGACACAGGGCACCAAAGCCCACTCCCAGCCATGCAGTGCCTATGTCATCCTTGATGCCTTCCGTCCACCTTCTACCTGCCTCTCTGACTCCCTCCAACCCCACAGTGCCCCAGGTCCCAAGAGTCTGCACTGAGACCGAGTTTGCCTGCCACAGCCACAATGAGTGTGTGGCCCTGGAGTATCGCTGTGACCGCAGGCCTGACTGCAGGGACATGTCTGATGAACTCAATTGTGGTGAGGGGCTTTCTGGGGGCACAGTGGCCTGCAGATGCCATGGAAGGGTCAGGGTATGCCTGGGTCTTCAAGTCAATGCAGGCTGTGAGGGTTTGGTGCAAGCAGAAGGGTCTGAGGTGGACAGGGACATGGAAGGGTGATACCAGGGTCAGGGCCAGGTCACTGAGGGCCCTGGGGAGGCTGGCGGCAGGGAGGGCCTGGGGAACGTTGGGGGCAAGGGGTGAGGAGTCACCCCCTCCTGCCAACATCAAGTGGTCTGTGTCCACAGAAGAGCCAGTCCCAGAGCTCAGCTCCATATCACCCTCTCTGGTGGAGACACCACCTATAACACCCTCGCCAGAGGTAACCACCACACGGCTACTACCAGGCACCCTGACTCCCCAGCATCTGCTCCCCCGTCCTGACAGGCCTGTGCCCTGTGGACCCCATGAGGCCACATGCCACAGCGGGCACTGCATCCCCAAAGACTATGTCTGTGATGGGCAGGAGGACTGCAAGGATGGCAGTGATGAGCTGGACTGCGGTGAGGACTGGGCAGGGGTAGAGGTAGGGGGTACGGGGTGGGGGGAGCTGGCAAAGGGCGGGCCTCTGGCTGAACCCTGCCTGGTTCACTCAGGCCCCACTCCGCCCTGTGAACCCAATGAGTTCCCCTGTGGAAACGGGCACTGTGTCCTCAAGCTGTGGCGCTGTGATGGTGACTCTGACTGTGAGGACCACACCGATGAAGCCAACTGCCGTGAGTGTCCCAGGGTCCACCTAGCAACCTCACCCCACCCGTTTCATCCCTTCTCAGGCAGGTTTGCTTGCTCTCCCTGGCTGAGTGGTGAAGGCCCTGGAGACAGACTTTAAGGTGTATCTCTTTCTGGCCCCTGCAGTGAGAGACCTTGGCTCTGAGCTGGTCTTTGTAGCAAGCAGTCTAGCCAGATTGCCCATGGTTAATGTCTCTTTCTTTTTTTTATTTTGTTACCATTAATCTTGTCTTTGTCATTTATGCTCGTGTGTGGGTCGGAGGGCTAGATACATACACCTGGGTCCCTTGATGATGGGGTCCCTGATGTATGTGTGAGTCAAAGCATTCCTGTTATGGGCCTTGAGGTTTTTTACCTAGAGCCAGTTCTGAGTTATTTGTTCCTTAATCATCCCAGCTCTTAATCCATATGCCCTTCAACTATCCATTGTCCATCTGTCCAACATCCTTCTTCCCTCACATCCATCTATTCACTCACTCTTTCCTCCAACTATCCATCCATCGTCTGGCTGCACAGCTCTTCATCTCTCCACCTATCTATCCAACATCTGCCTGTGCATCTGACCACCCATTCATTCTGTTATCCATCCATTAACTATCCATATGTCTTTCCATCTATTTTTCAACATCCTTCCTCCTGTCCATCTCTCCATCCATTTATCATCTATCCATCCATTGTCCATCTTTCCCACTCTCCATCCATCCATCCATCTATCCATTGTCCAGGAGCAGGGAAAGAGTCAAGAAGTCAGGCCTCTGCCAGGAAACAGTCAAAGGAAGTCCTGTTGACAGAGCACAGAACAGAGACTATGACAGCCGGATGGCCTTGGGCCTTATAGGGTGTTGGGGCAGAGGACCCTGAGGTAATGTCTTAGATGGCTGCCTCCTGGCCTCCTCTCAGTTCCTTCTCTGTGGACATGTGGCCTCCACTCCTGCCCCACCCTGCCATCTCTGTCCCTGTCTGTGTCTGTCTCAAGCTCAGTCTCCCTGAGGATAACCGTCAGTCACTGTCTAGTAAAGATGCCAAGCCAGGGCCCGGCCGTGGCACCATGCCAACTTTAGGCCTCTGGCCAGTCCATAGGTAGCTGCCTCAGGTCAGGTGCCATCCTGAGCCAGTGAGAGGGGTACAGAGCAGCAAGGTCAGGGCTGTGGCAGGCCCCTTGCAAGGCCTTTTTGCTAGAGAGAACTTCTCTGGCTATTACCTGGAGTCCACAGATACCAGCCACTTTGGCTATGCCTTTGGCAGGAGTCTTGTGCTTCTAAGGGTGGCCAACTGTTGGAGGAACTAAGTGACTGTGACATGCCAGGTTTTGGGTAATGCCAGTGGAGCGAGTGGTGGGGCAGGGGAATGTGATGAGCTGTTTGAGGGCTGATTGATGACCGTGACATTGTGGGTAGTATTGTGGCAACAGTGTCTGGGCCTGGTCAGGGTAGTTGTGTGTCGTGTGGATGAGATGAGAGAGTGACCCTGGGAACACCTGGGGAAGGAGGGGCTGTGGGCATAGGTCAGAAATGGGGGTGGTCCACCAGCTGCCCACACCACCTGCTCTTTCCCCAGCTGCCAAGCGCCCTGAGGACGTGTGCGGGCCCACGCAGTTCCGCTGTGTCTCCACCAACACGTGTATCTCAGCCAGCTTCCACTGTGATGAGGAGAGCGACTGTCCTGACCGCAGCGACGAGTTCGGCTGCAGTGAGCAGGGAGCTGGGGGGCGAGCTGGGGGCCCTGGGCTGGTTTCCAGGCGCCCCTCTCTACAGTCTCAGCCTCAGCCCTGCTTCTGCCCGGCTCCTCTGAGCCCTTCCCCCTCCCACTGCTATTCCCCTCTCCCCTCCCACTCCTCACTCCGGCTCCTGTCTCCCAGTGCCTCCCCAGGTGGTGACCCCTCCTCAGGAGTTGATCCAAGCTTCCCGGGGCCAGACAGTGACCTTCACCTGTGTCGCCATTGGTGTCCCAACCCCCATCATAAACTGGCGGCTCAACTGGGGCCATATCCCGTCTCATCCCAGGTCTGGTCCTGGGCCTGGGTGGAGACTGGGACGTAGAGGAGGCTGCGTCAGTGGCCCAGGCCTGACCCTGCCTCTGTCTTGGGGCCCACCAGGGTGACAGTGACCAGTGAGGGAGGCCGAGGCACGCTGACCATCCGAGACGTGAAGGAGGCAGACCAGGGTGCCTACACCTGTGAGGCCATGAATGCCCGAGGCATGGTGTTCGGCATTCCTGACGGTGTCCTGGAACTCATTCCGCAGCGAGGTACCGCCATCAGACCAGCGGGCACCGAGCATGGGGTGGTGCCAGGGCTGCCTGCCTAGGACCTGCTACAGCCCACTCTTATGCCGCCTAGCAGGACCCTGCCCCGATGGGCACTTCTACCTGGAGCACAGCGCCTCCTGCCTGCCCTGCTTCTGCTTTGGTGTTACCAGCGTGTGCCAGAGCAGCCACCGCTTCCGAGACCAGATCCGGCTGCGCTTTGACCAGCCTGATGACTTCAAGGGTGTGTTAGTGGGTTGGGTGGGCGAGTG